TTTTACAGTTTGCTATAAAGACAGTTTTTGTTACCTGAAACGTATTTTTGAATTCCATTTAATGGTTCAATTTATTTAATAAAAATACAGTAATAGTGCGGATTCAGAATAATTTTGCAAAATCAATTCTATAATAAATTGAAATGTAATTTTAGTTTTAGTTAAGAACTATATTGGATGGACGTTAAATTTGTATAAATTACACAATGTTCCATTATATAGAACAATGTTGACTTTGGAGACCGTTCGATGTCGTTTGCGTATTCAAGTAGGCAGACTCTCGAATGACAAGCAACTTCGAACTAGGGGAACAACAAGGTCGTCCAACAGAGAATAACAAGAGGTTTTCAATAAGTTATCGAGTAAATCTAGTGATACCAAAGAACTAATTATATAAAATTGTATCAAGTGTGAATATTGTAGATGATTATAATATTGTATTTGAATTACATGAAAAAAATATATATATATATACGAATGAAAAATGGAATTTGAGGGGTGATTGAAGACGGCAAATAAACGGGGATTGAGAAATATCTGATTTTGACAGCTAATATTTCTGATTTATATTTTTCTCTGCGAATGCTTTCTGAATAGTTTAATCGAAATACCGTATAAGTGTGCGTATTTTTTCAGTAATCAACATCCAATCGTATATTTAATAGAAATAACTTATAAATATTTTCGATGAAAATAGGTCAACTATGTACGATCTTGATTTTATTTATTTTACTGTAGTTAAATAATCGAAATATTATGTAAAATGTTGATGAAAATATAAATTTGTTAAACTACTTACTAAGTCGAATCATTTAAATTTAATTGGAATTGATCGTAGTTCTTTTTATAAATGATGATTATACTGTTTAACAGACTTTGTTCGTAAAAGCTGTTCGAATACCGAGTTATTTGATATTAAGTAAAAGTCGAAACAATGAAATTTTATTGGAATTGATCGTAGTTATTTTTTAAAATGAAGATTATACTGTTCAACCTCGATTCTCGAACAGACTTCGACAATTAAAATTATGTTCGAAAATTGAAATTTTACTTACTTTATGAATTTAGAACCGAAGTGCCACTTTATAATTATTAATATATTTGTTGAAAAAATAACTTCATGTTATAAAACATCTCATTAAATATATAATTGAAATGAATGTGAGTAACAAGGAGAAAGGTAGGAAGTAACGTTGAAACGTTGAAAATTAATTGGAATTGGCTTGTAGCGAGGAATACAAAAATAATATAAACAAAGGGGAACTGCTAATGTTGATGATGTAATTTGTAGCGAAAACGTTCGGTGTATAAAATATATTCAGATTTTCCTGCAGCAAATTGTATATTTAAATTTATAATTACTAGCACAACTACATAACACTGATTGCGTAATAGCACGGTATAGCAGTGCAGGAGTTTAGTTAGCAAAAAAAAAGTTATGCCAATACGAAAATGAATCAGCTTGGAAATTTTCATTTACTCCTATTTGAATATCCGTCGAAAATATATATAACTTAATTAACTTATTTTTGAAAAAAAACAATTTATAATAAATATATAGTAATACCTCGCATAGTACGGATTAACTACAGTACGATTTAAAAATTTCAAAATAAACTAAATTTTAATTGAGCAAAATAAAAATATAGTGTGGGGTATTGGCGGCAGTTTACTTAACATTTTTAATTAAAGTTTGTAGTTATACAATGCAGCGATTTTTCAGACAAGTATTTCTGTATATCAGGGGTCGGCAACCTTTTTAAAGCAGAGCCACTTACCTGTTAAAAAAATGTAGGGAGCCGCATTAGAATCGCTATTTTTACTAGTGAAATACATTTACAATACAGCTACCAGAGCCACCATTGTCTGAGCTAGGAGCAATATTTTTTTTTATGAAAAGTGCCGCATTTGCCCCCCCCCTGATATATATTGATGAATATACATCTTGAATTAATTGATCTTCTACTATATCTACATTCATGTAAGCTTTTTTTCAGTTACGTTTTTCAATGCATTTTCACATGTTTCTTACATTATTTCTTAATTAATGAAATTTTTCAATTGTTTAATTGATATTTTATTGAAGTCATTGGTCCTTTTCTACATACTTTCAAATGAAATTTGTCACAGCAACGTTTTTTTATTACATTTTCAATCTTTCATTTCAAAAATGGATAATTTAAATCAGTTCATGAAAAAGTTAATTCAATATTCATTATTTGTTGAGGAAAATATGATAATATTCTTTTATTATAATAATATGCTGAAAATGTTCATTTTGGACTCCTGTAATTGTATTCTAAAGGAAGCTCAAAGGCATATTATTCAAATGACAATAGGAAAAGATCATAACATTCATAACATAATACTATATATTTGTGAAAACCAAATTTACTTTCATACTATTAAATATCAAAGAGTAAAACATTAGAAATTTAACAACTAATTGTAGCGAGAAATCCAGGCATTGTTCGATTTTGGTATAGTTTTTAGATATTTCTTTCATTACACAGACATCAAGAACATCTGTGAGCGTACTTGACAACAGTGAAACTACAAACAGGCTGAAACGTTGCAAATTATTAATGTTCGAAATCATCATAATGGTAACTATCCACCGCGATCTTAAATTTTCTCAATATTCACATTGATGAATAGATTGTGAATAAAATTATTACGACATAGAAAAAACTGATTGTGAATAAATGAAAGTAAAAAGAGTTGGGCAATATTAAATGAGAATTTTTACATAAGGAAATTCAAAAAACAAAAAACTTAATAAAACATATATATTGTAATTTTACTAGAATGTGTTTAAATGATTAGTAATACTTAATTAGATTTCTTTGTATAATTATTATTCAATTATGTTAGTTATATTTTACTATTGATGTGTCTTATAGAATTATTATTTGCTTTCGAAGTATCTCTGTTACGTAAGATTTGTTTTAGATACTAGTGTAATATTCTGTACATTTTCTTCGGTTTAATGTGGGTACTTAGTACATGCTGATATTGTACAAGTCCATTTGCATTCCACGCAACAATATGTATGCATTTACTAGATACATTACATTAGAAGATAGTAGTTTCTTTGATATTGACATGATTCACATATAAATGTACTGGATTTTAACTTCTAATTCCAGAATAGAAACGCGCTGCGTTTTAATTAGTAATTAACGTAATACCACAATATAATATGTTTTTATATAATATTAAAATTTCAATAGAAATAAAATCAAGTTAATGAATGATTTAGATAAACTCTTTGAAATCATTACTGATATAACATGAAAAGATACGAAATAAAATGGTAACACTTATTTTGTGAAATTACAGATTATACATTAGAAACTCGGTTCTCTAATGCATCAGTTCCCGGCAACCTTTTAAAATAGCCAAAACCACCTCGACTTCTGAACATCCTTTCTATTATCCGATAATGCAAACTGTTTGAAAGCATCAGTTTTTTTTAATATAATCGAATACAACTAGGTTCATGAACAAAATTTCGATTGTTTGATAAACAAAACTAGAAGATTTGAAAAATTATACTAATAATATAAAAATATTCGGCATGACACTCGACATGACTATGAACTTCCGACAACAAGAGGGAGTCCGTCGAATCTATCCTTTCATTTTTAAACGAGTCGGGACTATTACGACACCTATAAATGATGTACTGTCCACTCTATTGATTTTAATATGTTACTTTTACCTATTTTACTTATATTTATATTTAATTTATTTATTTGAACTTACTTGTTGCTTTATTTTGTATGTGTCCTTTGTGATTGCGATAGAGGCTAATGACCTAAGCTGTCGATGCCTCATAAACCAATTTAAAAAAAAATAGTATAAAATCAATAAATTTATTTAGTAAATAGTAATTGAAAATGTGAATATGATTTTAAATTTGAATACAATTATAAAGTAGAAATTATGTTCTCAAATGAATAAGTTTTATATTTTGTTTAAACAACCACCTCGGTTCCCGAACATAATTTCGAATCTCCGACAATAGAATACTAATTATGTTCGATAATATATAGTCGCCTGTATCACGAAAACCCGATACGAAAAAGTTGGTTTGATCCTCAAAAAAAAAGGACCAAAGAGATTTATATCAACAATAAATTGATATAAATCTTTAATAATTCTGTTCTACTGTATATTAATGTTAAATTCTGTAAAATCAATAAATGTAAATTAATGATATGCATATGATTTTACATTTGAATATAAATATACGGTAGAAACACGGTTCTCGAATGTATCAGTTAATAATATTAAATTTGTAAATGAACTTAATGACAAATTAGCTAATTACATTGATCGTATTAATAAAGTAAATTACTATAGTATATTGTACTATTAATCTAGAATTTATCAAGAAAAATAAATGAATTATGCCAAAATTGGCGTTGTAAGCAAAAAGTTTCTACGTGTTATTGGTCTACTAAATTACCATTATATTTGTTCCAATTTATGTTTGAATTAAAGTAAGTTTATGTTGCTTTTAGAAACTCTCGGGAAAATTAACGATATTTTGTTAAAGAGTTGAAGTAATTAGATATGTTGTCTCGTTAGTTCTCGCCATACAACCAATTGGTAAAAAGAGTTACGAAAGTTACGTTATAATTGAGTTTCAAAAGTTCATTAGAAGAAAAACAGTAGTCGATAGTTCATTTGGGAGGGGGGTAGAAAAAGATGCATGGAAATACCGAAGCCAATATTGTTGGGTAATTGTATTTACATGCAGGTTTCCAATATCGATTATTAACAATATAGCGGATAGGAATCGTCGTTTTACAACTTGAATATTCTGTCCGGGGATTTTTTTTTTATTAATTTCACCTTTCTTATTTATTACGACCCTCTTCCATCATCGACTCGCATTTCAAATTGCTTTCAAGTGCTTCAGTGTATTATCGGAAACCGTTTAATGTTTGTTGTTTCTGCTTTCTCTTCCACATTCTATTTACTTATTTCTTCTTTTGTTTCAGGATATTCCCATCTACGTGAGCACTTTGACGATGGTCCTGACTGCTTGGGATAGGTACAGGATGATCAGACATCCTACGAGGATGCGTCTTCCAGCTTTCGTTTGCGCCGTTGGAACGTGGCTCACATCCATATGTATGGTTCTTCCGTATCCGTTCTACATTATCTACGTCGATTTAGGGGTATGCGCATTATTCATGTCTCTCACTTTAATCCTTTTACCCGCCTCTAATGGCTTCGATAAACTTTGCAACTATGCATCTCTAATAGCTCAACTGCTCATCTCTTACCTTATTAGTTGACCCTTTGGCAAGAGTTCATTGCTAATAAGGGAGCTCGTTTACAAATTGGGAACATAGCGTACGGGAATATTTTACGGTCGCATTAAAAAAGAGATTTTATAGGTGGATGCAACGTTGGCTTTTACTACTTAATCCATGTCACAAATACAAGCCAATGGAATATACTTCAATCTATATTAAAGCTGTGCAAGTCATATTCGTGACTACATTGTAAATAGTTACTTAATCTCATCTTAATAATAATAAAACTGATTTTCATATTAGTTTCATCAATTTTATAAGGAACACTGTTCAATAGGTCTCAAACCTATTTAATAGTAGCTTCTAAGAACAAGGTATTATTTATATTATATACAATATTTTGACCATTTCATTTCGAATTTATTTAATATTATGTAATTTGCTCAAGTTATACTATTATATATTTATTTATTTGTATTTATAAACAAAATCCAGAACTGTCATAAAACAAATTCAAGGTTTTTAAGAACAGCCAAAAAATTAATAAATACTACAAAATTCTTTGCAAAATCATTCAATAAAATCACAGTCAGGGTCAATAAATGTCTCTCTAAATTGTCGACAAACTTGATTTTGATTCATAGCAGATATTACTCTAATTGTAGCAGTTTAAAGGAATATTTAATGATATGGGGATGTTTAATGACCTCACTCTGTCTATCTACAACTTCTCACTCGTAATAATCCAAATGATTTAGGTCTGGACCACATTGATTTTCTGAGATCATGATCAATGGTTTATTGAACAAATTCTGCCATTTCTTTTAAATTTCTAACATAAATTGGAGCCAATCTAAATGCCGACAATTAAAATCCCGACATACCGATAATCGGGATTAAGTCTGATGAGATGTTTAATGTCGTTCCTCTAATCACAAATTCCAGCTCTTAATAATAATAATTTACTTCGTAAGTAGTGGATTTTTATACTGTCGGGATTATGGTTATCGGGATTTTAATACTGTCGTGATTTCGCCCATGCTAAATGCATGTTTTTTATGACACATGAATATTAGGATTAGTTTAACGTTTGCTATTGATTTGTAGCAACAACTGTTTCATCTTGACGTAGTAAAATTACCGTATAAAGATATTTTTCAATAATCTCTTCATTTTTATTAGTTTCTTATTAAATATGTACTTGTTATTATATTTCGATGAAATTATATTTCGATTAAATTTAATCTCATAATAGATAAACTATAAAAAAACGAGATCGACCTATACCATTTTACATTCATTCTTATTAGAAAACGGTTTCGGTTCTCAAACAATTTGGTTTTTAATATCCTTAAGGAACGATTTATAATTGTAGATTGTAAAAGAAAGGTATCCAATTATATCAAGAAAATTTACCAATTGATTTTGTATAGAAATCCAAGTCAACATTAATTCTGATGGTTTCAGTTTTTGAACAATTCAGTTTTCAAATAGGCTTTAGATAAAAATAATAGATATAAAATTATATGAAGAAGAAAATTTATCAATGGAGGCAATTGATTCAGAATGGAAATCCAATTTTACATTAATTCTTATGATGATGGTTTTCGAATATCCTTTAGCAACGAATTATGTAAATATAAAAAATAGGTATAAAACGTATCTTTGGAAACCATTTATTTAGTATGGGTATTCAATTTTACGTTAAGTTTCTGAATATATTTTAGCAAAAAAATATATACAAAAGTATTAAATTCTGTCTACAAAACAGAAATAATCGAATCAGTCTGGAAAAGGCTAAAAAATAGGGATAATCTAAAAGAACGAATTTCAATAGATAATAGAAAATATCTTAGAAAACATCTAACAAACATTTTTCAAGAATAGGAATCGCAAATTTAGAAAATGGAATACTTAGATATAAATGTATTCATACGCATCGTATTAGTTGACCCTTTTTATCGACCGACACTATATCGTCTATATGCATTACCACATAAATTCCCAAACAGATAATATATAGAAAATAGAAATGTATCATATTCTCAACATAAATATTTAGCGATAAATATTTCTCAACGTAATGGAAATCGTTCAGATAATAATTATTCGAAAGATTATTGACATAATAAATTATACCCTACTCAACTCATCAGATTATGTTTTTTTATGAATAATATATAACCAATATACAGAAAACATATAAAATGTGTGGGTCTATCTCCACAGTATTAAAATCCCTACAACCATAATCCCGACAGTATCTTTTATTATTTGATATAGACTTATTCATAACGTACTAATGTCCGAATTTGTTTCATTAAATATACATGTTGGATGAATATTTTATTTAAAATTTAAGAAGTATTTCATCAATTTAAACTTATGTATGTAATTATAGAACAAATCTTATTAAAATAAAAAGAAAACAAAATTTTGTTATGAAAATAAATTGTTAACTGTAAGGTTTAACCTGTACTGAATAAATGTGAATAGTAATATTTACAAATATATTCACTACAATATAATTTATAAAGTTAAATTGGTTTCAATTGAAACGAATGTAACGAATTCGTTGAGAATAATTTCAAGTTTTCAGTTGAAATGAGTCAGAAAAATTACAGGCATACTGAGAACTTTTAATTAAAGCTGTCGAAGAGGTTATAATATATTCAATAAATTTAAATATACAATTTATATAAATATAAAAACCTACGTTGTTAGGTTATTAGTTAATTGATTGAAAGAACTCAAATTTATAGTTTTAATATGTTATATTAATTTATATAAAATTTTTAATGGTTTAAATTTGAATCAATTATAAAATCATAAAACTATTATTTATAAATATTGATTTCTTTAGCAATAGAAACATTTTCACTTTATTAAGAAAAAAACACAACTATTTTTTTTATAAACTATGGTAGAAATATTATAAATTAATAGTTAACACTTTTGTTGTAGAGGAGTGAAAAACCTTGTGGTATTATTATCCACTAAAACCTCCTCCTTTCTTCATCAATCATCTAGGTTTCCAAACTTTTTCGGTTTCCGGCGCATTTAATATATCAGATTTTTTTCGCGACTTCCCAAGACAAAACGGCGCATACTTTGCCCTGATTTAGGACCAATACTACCAGTTGATTGTATTTCTACACTAGCTCATCTCCACCTTCAATAATATATAGCAGTATTCGTCTCCACTAGGACTCTTCTCATTCGCTTTCTTCAAGTTCTTCTGGTCTTCATTCTCCAGAGCACCCTTGATATATATATATAATGCTGCTGTCCTCTGTACTGACCAAATTCATAACGGCGCACACATTAGGAAGCACTGATATGGGAATAGTACTATCAGTGTATTTCACCGCAATGTTGATTCTATTTGTGCATTAGCTCATCACTCCCTTTATTATTATGCGTCAGTGTTGGTCACCACTAGGACTCTTCTCATTCGCATTCTTCAAGCTTTACTCGTCTTCATCCTCCAGAGCACCCTTGGCATATATATAATGCTGCAGCCCTCAGTACTACCCAAATTCAAAACGGAGCACACTTTGGGAAGCCCTGATGTAGGACCAGTACTATCATTATATTTCACCGCAATTTTGATTGTATTTGTGCACTAGCTCATCACTCCTTTCATTAAATTGTGTCAGTGTTGGTCTCCACTAGAACTCTTCTCATTTGCCTTCTTGAAGCTTCTTTCGTCTTCATCCTCCAGAGCACCACATTCAAAACGGCGCACACTTTGGGAAGCCCTGATGTAGGACAAGTACTATCATTGTATTTCACCGCAATCTTAATTGTATTTGTGCACTAGCTCATCACTCCTTTCATTAATATGTGTCAGTGTTGGTCTCCATTAGGACTCTTCTCATTCGCCTTCTTCAAGAGCACCCTTGATACATATATAATGCTCCAGTCTTCTGTACTGTCCAAAATTGTAGCAATACAAGTCTATGGTTGCAGCAATCTCCCGAGATATGCCTCGTACTTCAATCTCGCCAATCTGATGCACCTGAACAAAATATGCTGTCTTTTCTTTGTAGTACCCAAATAGTTAACACCTAAAACTAGTATTACTAGTTAATGACTTAATTGTTATTTATAATACATTATAAACTTTAACATATATACAATATTAATAAATACATATAAAAAAGTAATTGGATAATAAAATACTTGTTTTTAATTGACAGTAGTAAAATATTGTTGAAATATATGAAGAGTGAAAAAAAAAATGTTAATACGAAGGAGCGTATTGAGAGAGTATAGCACCTCGACTCAATTAATCAAGATTTTGTTGTGAATGGAAATGGGTATCTGCGACGAAATATCCATTAAGGCCTCGATAATAATTACTCGAAACAAATCACGGAACGCAAACAAAAAATATTTGCGCAGTACTTAGTGCGACCTCCGTGGGCTCTGCGGGTCGGCACGTTCTTGCATACATTAAATTAAAGGAAGGTCTTCGTCGGTTCGGAGGCGCCTCTAAACAATCTGCTGCTTTAATATAATTAATATGCCACACGAAATTAACATAAATAATTGCAACTGTTTAAATGCCCAACACTATCCGTGCCTGCACCCTCACGGCCCTCATCCGAATCCATTCGCCGCTGATAAATTCGATTCATTACATAAATCTGCGCAGTACACGCTCTGCACGGGATTCCCTCAACGACAGATTCTTCCCATATTTATCACACTGAATTTATAATACACCATTCATTATATAACTTCAGCTTTAACGGGAATTAGCTGTTGCTGTACTTTTTATTTTAGACTATTTCATTCTACACTTGAGAAATTATTGCAATATATTAAATAAATCTATTAATAAATATACAATACTTACAAGAATTTTGTTTTGTGTTAATAAGAATTGCTGTTTTGTTTACATTTTTTAATAA